GAAATTTAAAAGCTAGGTTGCATGCATACATTGTATCCCTTTGCCCCTTTATCCTGTGCTATGTGTATTCTTCAGAGCAAGGATTTTTTTTTCTCTTTTTTCAGTTTTTACCTTTTATTAGTACATGTTTGCAGCACTAATAACGATTCATTATTCCTGGGGGTTTGGTCTTGATATTTTGGGTTTCTCGTGTATCTGGTAATCTAAACAACTAATTGAAGACAACAGTGTGCAATATAACAAGGGTTGGTGAACTCCTACCGTCTTGTCTAGTGAAGCTATGTATTGTCTCTAATGCTTGCTTCTTTTTGTTTTTTAATTTTTATTTTTTATTTATTTATGTTTTTTGGTACCGGGAATCAAACTCATGACCTCAGGCTTGCCAGGCAAGCGCTTATGTCACCAAGCTATATTCCCGGCCTGGTTCTTATTTTTTGTTCTCTTTAATGGTTTGATCAGTCTTGCATTCTTACATCTGGTAATCTGAGCAACTTCACTGAAGAGAATATGTAGTATAACAACCACTGTTAATTACTGTCATTTTGTTCTGAAACCCTATATCATTTTATTGTTTTTGTATATGTTGGTATTTTGCTGTTGTTCTTTTTTTAATTCTCTTTAAAATAAAAATTTTTGAAAAAAAACAATGTGATATTTAAGCCTTTGTGTCCGATTTATTTCACCTAACATCTCAAGGTGCATCCATTTTCCTACACATAAATTTATCCTCCTTTATGGCACAGTAGTATTCCACTGTGTATATATACACATTGTCTTCACCCTTTCATCTGTTGATGGACATATATGCCACTTCCAGCTTTCAGTTATTATGAATTCTACTGCTATAAATATGGGTATGTGTGTATCATTGTAATGTGATGTCTTTAACTCTTTCAGGAAGATACTTTTAAGGGAATAGGTGGGTCAAATTAGAATTTTGAAATTTAGTTTTTGTAGAAACCTCCATACTGATTTCAAGTGGTTGTACCAGTTTAGATTCCCACCAACAATGTAGAAAGGTTACATTTTCCCTGTAGCCTCAACAACATTTGTTATAATTTCATTTCTTGATGATGGCCATTCTTTTTGCGGAAAGATGGGGATCTCAATGTTGTTTTAATTTGGATATTTCCAGTGGCCAGTGATGTTGAACTTTTTTTATGTATTTATTTGTACTTCTGAGAAGTGTCTATTCATTTCAGTTGCCCATTTTTTTGACTGGGTTTTTTATTTTGGGAAGGGTCTAATTTTTTTGTAGTTTATATATTCTAGATGTTAGTTCCCTTGTGTGGGGAATACCTGACAAAATTTTTTTCTTATTCTGTAGGTCATTTTTTTACTCTGTTAGTTGTTTTATTTTGAAAAAACCTTATCTGTCAGAATGTTTTATTTTGATATCCCTTTTATTAATTCTTGGTGTTATTTCTTGTGCAGTTGAGGTTCTGTTCAGAAAGTCGTTGTCTATGCCTTTGTCTTCAAGAGTTTTAACTATTTCATCTTCCAGAAGATTGTTCCAGTTTCAACATGTAGATCTTTGATCCATTTTGATTTCAGTTTAGTTCTGGTGAAAGATACAGGTATAGATTCAGTTTTCTGCATATGAATAGCTAGTTATCGGAACACCATTTTTTTGTTTGTTTGTTTGTTTGTTTTCCCTGTACCCAGAATCGAACCATGACCTTGCACTTGCCAGGCAGGCGCTGTGCCACTGAGCTAAATCCCCAGCCCTCGCAACACCATTTTTAAAAGAGGTTATCTTTTATTCAGCACGTATTTTTGACCCTTTTGTCAAAGATCAGATAGCTGAATGTGCCTGGGATTGTTTGTACATTTTCCATTTTGCTCTATTGGTCCATGTGTTTTTGTGCCAGTGCCATGCTGTTTTTATCACAGTAGCTTTGTAATGTAACTTGAAATCAGGGATTGCAATACCTCCTTCTTTGTTATTACCAGGATTGCTTTTGGTATACCTGGTTTCTTCGGGTTTCATGTGAATTTTAGAATTGATTTCTCAACTCCTATGAGGATTGCTGGTAGTATTTTGATTGGCATGGCATTAAATCCATGTATCAGTTTGGAAGCTATTTTAAATATATTAGTTCTGCCCATCTAGAAAGGGGATATATTTCCATTTTCTGATGTCTTCTTTGATTTCTTTTTTCAGAGAACTATACTTTTTGGCAGAGGTCTTTCCTCTCCTTGGTTAGGTTCAGAGCGGGAATATTTTTTTTTTGAGACAGGGGCTTACTATGCAGTTCAGGCTGGCCTTGAACTTACCATGTAGCCTGTTATGGATTGTGTCTGGCTGTCCCCCCCAAATCCTCATGCAGTCATGGGGCAGGCTTCTTGGATTTGTGATTGATCCATGATCCAATGCTGGGATTATGGGTGTGAGTGCTACACCCGCCCTGGGGTGGGTAGTTTGCATACAATGTAAGGGAGGGAAAGAGGCTGCTTGCTGCCATTCCTGCCTTTTACTCTTGTTGATTTGCTGTGTTCTGCCGCCATGAACGTTTGCCCCGTGCATGTAGTGCTCTGCCTTAGAGTCAGCTGAGTATGGACTGAAACCTCCACAAACTGTGAGCTAAGTAAACCTTTCCTTCCTTCCTTCATTTTGGGCATTGGGTGTTTTGTCTCAGCAATGAGAGAAAAGTAACTGAGGGTCTTGAAACTCGCAGTGATCCTCCTGCCCCAGCCTCCCAAGTGCTGGGATTACAGGCGTGCGCCACCACGCCTGGCATGAGAGCAGGAATATCTTATATGCACATATCGTATTCAGAATTTAACACATGTATAATACTTCTGTATCATCTATAGCATATTTTCCAGTTTTGTCAGTTATCTCAGTAATGTCCTTTATAGTATAATATATTGTTTTCTGTTATAATCTATTTATAGTATAATATATTGTTTATGGTATAATATATTGTTTTCTGTTATAAGCTATTCTCTGATCAGGTTTTGCATTTAATTATCTGTTCAGTTTTAAATTGCAATAGTTGTTAGTCTTTGTCTTTGAAGAAAACAGATTAGTTTTTTTGTATTTGTCTCTTGATTCTTCTTAGTGTGATTAATCATATAAGTTTCTTGTATTTGTACAAGAAATTTTGGTACAAAATTTGTACAAGTCATATTTTGGTACCACATTTCTATGAAATAGGCAGATGAAATAAATCCATAGTGACAGAAAGAAGATTAGTGGTTGAGGAAGGCCAATAACTGCTTAGTGGAGATGGTGTTTCCTCATAGGTGATAAAAATATTTTGGAACTACAAAGATGGAGGTGGTGATTGTGAGGTTAACAATTTCTTAATGCCTATAACTCATTCACTTTATTGATTGATTGATTGATTGCCTTTTTGAGACAGGGTCTCCCTATGCAGTTCAGGCTGGCCTTAAGCTCACTTTGTAGCCCAGGCTGGTCTTGAACTCGCAATGATCCTCTTACCTCAGCCTCCCAAGTGCTGGTATTACAGGTGTGTGCCACCATGCACGGCTCCTCATTCACTTTATTTTTTTGTCTTTTTGAGACAGGGTCTCATTATGCAGTTCAGGCTGGCCTTGAGCTCACTTTGTAGCCCAGGCTGGTCTTGAACTCACAATGGTCCTCTTGCCTTAGCCTCCCGAGTGCTAGGATTACAGGCGTGAGCCACCACGTCTGGCCTCATTCACTTTAAAAAAGCTGATTTTGTTATATGAATTTCATTTCAGTAAAAATTAAGTTTTAAAAATTTCTTTTTGCTTTCTTTTTTGTCTTTTTGAGACAGGGTCTTGCTATGCAGTTCAGGCTGACCTTGAGCTCACTTTGTGGCCCAGGCTGGCCTCGAACTCACAATGATCCTCCTGTCTCAGCCTCCCAAATGCTTGGATTACAGTGGTGCACCACCACACCAGGCTTAAAAATTTCTTTTTTTTTGTTTTTTGTTTTTTTTTTTTGGTTTTATTTCCGGTACTGGGAATCGAACTCATGACCTCGCGCTTGGCAGGCAAGCACTGTGCCGCTGAGCTAAATCCCCAACTCCCAAAAATTTCTTATGTAAATAGTTTTGCTGTTCTATAACAGACTGAATTTCTCACCAAACAGAAATTTAATTTGAAAAAGCCTTATTGCAAAAAATAAAAGATTTACTGCATGGATAATTGTAGTGACTGAAAGACATAAATGGGCGTTGTAATCCCAACTCTCAGTAGGAAAATTGACAAGCAGAAGCGTCTGTTACCTACAAATACCAGCGTTTTAATTTGTAGTTTTTCATTTTGAAAATTCCCATGTTTATGATGAGTGTGAATGGACAACAGTTATTTTATATATTTTCTAGACAATTTACATGTTTTTTATGTTAAATAACAGATTTTCTATGACAAACTTCTGGTACATTAAATTTAAACTTTGAATATAGCACATTAAAATTCTAGGTCTGGATTAAGAGAATGTTTCCTTGTCCTCTGAATGTGTATATTCCAGCTTTCCTGTTATTTACTTTTTCACCTTAAAACTAAGCTCCCAGGTTCATTAAATGGAGCTCACTTTGCTGTTTAGATGATGGGTCCTTGTTTTTTTTTTTTTTTTTTTTTTTTTCTTTGTGCTGGGAATCGAACTCACCACCTTGCGCTTGCCAGGCAGGCACTGTGCCGCTGAACTATATCCCCAGCCCCGGGTCATTGTTTTTTAACCTGTTGGTTTCTCTTAAAAGTGGGAGAGACATACCTTGTCTTGTGTGAATGAGAAAGGTTAAATGTGTAGCACAGAGTCTGGCATACAGCAGGTGGCACCTACAAAGTAGTAGTGATTATTATCCAAAAAACATGAGTGTTACGAGGAAAGTTCTCTTCCGCCTTTTTAAAGGTGCTGTAACCTGTGAAAATGTAAATATGTTCTCAAAGAGCATTTCTACACATGGAAAGATAAGCTTTCTCAATCTTGCTTTGAAAATTTAACAGTTGATGTATGTGCAGTTCTTCATATTTCTCACCAGTGGTTTGTTTGCTTATTTCACCAGGTAAAAGAAAAGATGTTTTCCCGATTAAGAGCAGTTGCTACTCCTTGTACTGTGGCACGCCGTCATTTGCACACGAAAGAGAAAGGCAAGCCACTCATGTTGAATCCAAGAACAAACAAGGTTAGTACCATTAATGCCGATACATGTTTTCTCTCTCCTGATATGGAGTTAATATATTTTAGACTAATGAAGTATGAAATTATTGGTTTTTTGTTTTTTTTTTTATCTTTTTGAGACAGGGTCTCACTATGCCGTTCAGGTTGGCCTTGAACTCACTTTGTAGCCTAGGCTGACCTCGAATTCGCAATGATCCTTCTGCCTCAGCCTCCCGAGTGCTGGGATTACAGGCAGGCGCCACCATACCCGGCCTAGTATGAAATTATTGTACTTGATAGCTTCATGCTAAGACATTTCAGAGGTATTTGCTTTCTTTTCATTCTGCATATGGCAGAAACCATGGCTGCTTTATTGCTCCTAAATTTCAATCTTCACAACTTTTCCCACCAGAAATGACTTGACTTCTTAGTTCTAGCTAGTTCAGACTAGCACTCTAGCCAGGACTCTTGCCAGATGTGGTTGGTTGGTTGGTTGGTTATTTATTTATTTATTTAATTTATTTTCTAGTACCAGGAATCAAACTCACGACCTTCCACTTGCCAGGCAGGCACTGTGCCGCTGAGATAAATCACTTTACCACCAGAAATGACTTGACTTCCTAGTTCTAGCTAGTTCAGACTAGTACTCTAGCCAGGACTCTTTTGCCAGATGTGGTTGGTTGGTTATTTATTTATTTATTTAATTTATTTTCCAGTACCAGGAGTCAAACTCACGACCTCGCACTTGCCAGGCAGGTGCTGTGCCGCTGAGCTAAATCCCCAGCCCCAGGTCCCCTCACCCCCCCATACCAGGAATCAA